TTTTTTTTTTTTTTTTTTTTTCCAGATTTGAAGGTACGTGGGTGTAGAAGGACCCCGCACCACCCCCCTCCCGCCCCGATTCCGACCACACCACCGTCCACGTGGGCGGAAATCACGTGAACGGCCGTTCACGGTTTTTAGGCCCGGTGACCGGCCGGTCATGTTCAGGTGACCGGTGCACGTTCAGGTGACCAGTGCCAGTCACGTTCACGGGACCGACACTGGTCTGAGGCCTGGGCCTACTGGAAGCTTCTGGGCAGGGACCCAAGGCAGCCAGGCTGCATGCAAGCAGGCTGACCACCTCCATTTAGGAAAGTCCTAGCCTACGCATTCGGTATTCGGACATTGGCTGCTTTGTGCGCAAGCGCTGCTGCGCTATCGCCTGCCAGGCTCACGCAGGCAGCCATAGCCGAGTTGTGTTGCTGTATGCTGGATGGGGCGCATGGTGGTCCTTGGGTGCAAGTGGCATCTGTGAGTTGGGGAACGAGGTTGTGAGTGATACGAGAGACATACATGGTGCTTGAAGCGTGCGACATTGGCCGAGATCTGCTTGTACTTCGGGGAGCTATTAGCGTCATCAGCGCCATTGTAGAGTAGGCTAGATAGGATCTGCCATCTGTAGTTTGGGCGCCGAGTGCCAGATAGGATATCAACATTGGTTCTTCGTTGATGATGATGATGAGACTATTCTAGCATTGTCAATTATGAGTTTTTGGTGTGCTCTTATTTGGTGAAACTCGTGACGCAATTATGCTTTTGGTTCAAGGTCTCGACTATCTGGTCTCATGTGTACGATGCTGTTTGATTGCTGAAGTTCGCTATTGCTCATCTTCTTGCAAATTATTAAATAATTAATTAAAAATTTTAGGTATTGTGGAAGGTAGAAATGCAGATTGGAGATTCAAAAATTTGAGATTGTGGAATTTAGAAATTTTAGGTATGAAAAATACCAATCAGCTTAGTTGTAGGACTTGAGAGTTGCGATGATTCTGGAATATTCGAGAATATTATTTGGAAGTTTGATTTGGATATTTAATTAGGATATTATTTTAGTTGAAATAATAGATTGGATATTAGAATGATGATATGTATGATGATTGGATGTTGATTAATTAGCTAAAAAAGATACTAATTAGCAGTAAGAATTAGGAGAATAGTACAACCTATATTACTAAGTGGCTCATCCCTTTCCCCCCTAAATCCTAATCTCCCACCTTCTCACCTACTACCTTTCCCCTTCTCCCCCTCTCTTATCCCCACCTTCTTCCTACCCCGGCCCCTCCTACCCCATTCCCTCCTCCACTTCTACCCATTGTTGCCCCACTACACTCCTTGTCCTTGCTGGATGAGGCGGCGGAACAACCCCAAAGCGGAGCAAAGGAGAGAATAGAAAACGAGGAGAAGAGGGCAGTGGACAAATAAGGTGGAGGGGGGGAGGGAAGAATAAAGCGACGAGGCAGCCGAGTAATGAGAAGAGTCAGAAGGGGAAGAAGGAGGAGGGAAGGACGCGAAGAGGAAGATGGATGAAAGAAAGACGGACATTACCCACGACCGCCAAATGCCATGATGATGATGATGATGATGATGATGATGATAATGATGATGATGATGCTGGTGACAAGACCAGCCGCTGCTGTCATCCTTGCGCAGAAGCCATGCTCACCGGTGTCATGTGGAAGATGATGATGATGATGATGACGATGAAATTTATGAAAATATAGTCTCTCCTCGTGCTTCTGCCGCTGACCTGCCGTTCCATGTGCTCCTGAAGAAAACTCACCACTCACAGTTCCAGCCCTTAAACTAAGGAAGTGCTCTTATCACCTCCTCAGCCTGCGCCAAACATCACCAGTCTAGCGCGCTCGCTAAGGCGCTCGTAATTCCCATGTATTTCCCGAATTGCGAAAAGATGAAATTCCAAAAACCGAGCAAAATGACAAGGGGCAGGCCTTTTTTATTACGAGTAAATTAAATGCGCATCGATTCATGAAAACACAAAAAGGGGTCTCTTTGCTTTGGTTGCAAAAGATCACCAAAAAAGGGGGGGGGGAAGGGGAAATGGCGCAGGTCCGGAGGCTGGCGCGTCACAGAGGTGGGGGGGCACCTTCCCGCGGAGGCAGTAAACAGGCAGGGGGTTATTCTTTTGAAGAGAGGAATAATCCATTTGGTTTTTGTGACCCCTCTATATGTAACTATGACTTCAATAGGCGTTGGAGTTTCCATGGGGAGACAAGGTAGTTTTCCCCTCTTTCCCTCTTCCTGTGGAAATTGTGGGCGTTGATGTTCATCGGAGTTTTCATAATCTTTTGAATTCCTGTTTTCCCTTATTGGAAATTCTTCAAAGGTTTGGTGCTGGAGGAATGGGGTTGTGGTGGTTGTGATGGTGAGAGACGACGCGCCCTGCGGCGGAGGGGCTAGCCTGTAGGGTTGAAATAGGGTACAGCAGCGGTGGAGATGGTGGCTTCATCGCGGTAAGACTTGCCGGAGTAGGGCTGAGAGGGATTTTTGTGGGATATCTGCAACTAGTGCTTGATCCGAGGTTTGGGGTTGTTTTCTTGTGTAGATTGCATAGTTTTCGTTCTCAGCCTAAGCCGGGTAATAACCTCGGTATATTGCCTCCTGGCTGCTGGATGGAACCAGAGGAGAGCATCAGTCCTTGGCAGCAGGCCCCCGTCCGTACCAGCGGTACCA